TGTACGGCAGTGAAGCATCGGTGTTGAACACTGATGTCATGCTGTCGATGATGATGAATGCACTCCAGGTCAGGTCAAAATACGGATTGGTTCTCTCAGAATTACATCTCACGCGTCTAAGTTAGACATCATAACATATATATATATATTGATAGTGATATGNATATATAATATAAAGGAAGTCAGTAGCCGTGTTGCGACGGGCACAGAATTTGTATCCCCATGGTCGAAACAGTCGCACCGGGTACCTCTCAAAATGGGTATAACCATCGATGGGTCCCAGTTTTTTTTAATAGATAAGATCTCACTCCAGTTATGGTCGGTCTTCTGAGGCTCTGTGGCTCATAAAGCTTTTCTACTCTGTCTCGGGTTTGTCGAGAAAATTTAATTGAACTCCATACCGTAGGAGTGCGTCATCTGAACCAGGCTGTGTACTCCAAAAGGATCGGTAATCAATCATGATTGAACCGTGTCATCGGTAACTGATTGCAGTGTGGTCAAATTAGCCCGAAGGTAGCTCAGTAGCAGGAAGCGGCTCAAAACATGTCTAAACCCAGAATAGCTAAATCAACCGGTGATCATCAAAAAGTTACAAAAGACTGCTATCATTGCGTCTTGCATTCAGACTAAACATACCACCAAGGAGAACTTCTTTACCAAGGTGTCCTGCTAGTGCATTGAAATCTATTGTCACTATGATTAAGTCCAACCCGCTCTACAGGTGCCCTTTGATGAATCAGAGCAATATTCGGTGCATAAATGGCCCAGCAGCAGCGCCCTCTCAGTGATAAGCTGCCATGCAACCAGGAGGCACGAGGGCTGAGGTACTGCTAGTTGCCAAGCCATGATTAAGTCCAACCCGCTCTACAGGTGCCCTTTGATGAATCAGAGCAATATTCGGTGCATAAATGGCCCAGCAGCAGCGCCCTCTCAGTGATAAGCTGCCATGCAACCAGGAGGCACGAGGGCTGAGGTACTGCTAGGTTGCCAAGCCTAGAGGGGAGCAGTAGAAGTCCAGATGGTGGGTTCGAACCACTGACCTTCGAATTACTGAGTTCGCGCCTTAACTACTGAGCCATCTCAAACATAAACGAAAACCAAAGACAAACAGCGCCCAGTAGTTCGAACAGTACGAGTTGTTATGGAAGTGGGGAGTTGGAAAGTAATCAGCACGCGAACTTCGGGCTATATCAACACTGGCTCAATCCACTGACGAGGCGCTTCATTCTGTCTATATTCTTTCCACATTCCAGAGATCGAGATTAAGGCACGAACTTACTGACCACAAGGTCCTTGTTTGGAGCCCAAGCTATATCTCTCGACTGCTTCTGTCTAGGCGTAGACAACCTGGAGTATCTTAGCCCCGTGTTTTCTTCGGGTAGCACGACAGCTAGGCACCGAAGGAGTGCTACGACTTCAGAATTATTATTAGTTATTACTACTATTACGCGTGTTCCAGACTCCAGAATAAACACGTCGATGTTTCATTCGGTATCATATTATCCTCCCAGAAATCGACCTGATAGGGGCCAGCTGCGCTGCTTTCCACCAGTCATTCAAATCACCGATATTACCAAAAACTTGCCTAGTTACTTTATGAGTGCGCCGAATAAACTCCTTCGAGCTTTAAGTAATTTACAAGAATCTGGAATGGCGACAACTCGCCAGCTGTCGGCCTCGTTCTCACGAACGAGATTTGAGGAAAGATGTCAACAAATACTAGTACTAATCATCCATTTTAAGCACTTTTCGATGCTGGGCGAGGGGCAAAAGGTCTGATATACTTTAAGGTTGTCCAAGCCTAGACAGGAGCAGTCGAGATGTCAGTCGACCCTCCTAATTATCACAGCAACTATGTTGTTCTGTTATTCTAGTTTGCGATATACACACAACCCAAATGGGAACAAACAGCAAGTACGTATACTTGGGGAATACCATCACCCTTAGAAACCCGGCTGTCGCAGGCCCATGGGATTTCATGAACTCCGAGGTACTCGACACTACCTGGTGCATATTTGCTAGTGAGATACCCAGCGTAAAGCATCGAGAATAGCACTTACCAGGATCACAAGCCTGCGATCGTTTCTCCAAAACCAAACAGGTGGTCACTTTGCCATAACACAGACAAGTAGCTTTCACTTTGCTCTCGAGTACTTACTAAATACTGCACACAACTGATTAGCCAGGGAAAACAGCAAAACCAACAACCACTGTGTGTGGCCCACCAAAAACATTACCCGTAACCGGAAAGCTCAGATCAGCTTCTCTTCAATATGCATCAATACACCAAGAACATACGGATGTTTTATGTAAAGGGCAATCATGAGGACTGGATGAGCCGCAATGACAACGAACCGGATAGCGTTTGTCGAGGCTTTCGTCAACCTTCCAATGACTCACAATGACGGCTACTCCCACCTATCGTGCAGCATGACGGGTAGTCAAAATAAATATCACAGCGGAACCATCATGGATAAAACATCCTTGCGCTGCGGGTGGAACAGTTACCCGGAAATCGACACCACAATAATAAACAGCAGTTCAGTGGCAACTTTTCAACACAGTTACTAAGCGACTTAAAGTACACGAGTGACGATATACCGCCTATGCAGGACCGATCGAGAGGTCAGAGTCGGTTTGAACCAAGAAGCTTCCGATCATATTAAGGAGCAATGGAGACTGTGTATTGCAATATGGACTTGGTGAGGAGAGTTCAGGCACCTGATTTCATTGTCCGGAACGAAAGAATCAGGGTGGATGACCAGTAAAATGGCGTCGATGTAATGCGTCCGAACTTCTGTAAAGCATTGGAGTGTGTGAACCAACAGATCCTGTTCAGAGAGCCGAGCTACAGGACTGCCGGATTGCAGATTCCCTAGGAGACCATGTACTACGTTTTTGTCTCGTATAACTCCCGTAATTGCCTATCCGTTCACATCCCGGAGCTACTGAGCCATATGTTTACCATTTTCATCAAAGACAGTGGGTAATCTGCCTCTCCGGCATGAATACCTGGGTAAGCGTCGTTCCGAATTGAGAGGCTCACTCACTGCAAGCTGATCTGGACAGCTGACAACCAAACTTCACTTGACTGCGGTGCTGTATATATACTGGAAAATCCCATAAGTTTGTTCACCCAATATTTTTATGGCATCATTATTACGGTTTCATAGACGGGTCTGAATACATTTGTCCCTTGTTTTACGTCACCGATGCGCCCTAGCCAATGAGGTTTGCTCGACATGGAATACCGATCGAGGTTTTCGGTTTCCATACAATCACATCATTTTGTTTCAACGGCCCATAGTTACTCATGACATATTCTACATTGGAAACACTGCAGTACGAACGTGCGAGTTACAAGGAATACATTGTCGACCATTGGTGGCATCGCGTGACGTAATTACTTTACACCTTTATACTTTTCCATCCTGTGATTCATTCTGTGCCGCGCTCTCTAAACGTTTCTTTGTTCGGAATCACGTGATGCATTGACTTGTCACCGTATTACGCGGGTTAATTCACGGAATATCGAAATACCCGAAAATTCTACTCACCGGTTGTCATCCCCAGGCTCCAACTGATTCGCACTCCCTTCGCTGATTGATCGTTGGCGTCTGAAATCATCATTTTCACCAAGATCGTCCAAAGTCCCACCAAGGTTATGTCGGGCTGTGTTTCGGCTTTGGCTAAGGTCATCCTCATCGTCAGAGTCGCTGAGAGCATCATAACCATCTATGTCATCGTCGTCCAGGTCGTCATCGTCTTCATCATCATCAACAAACGGGACGTCATAATGCTCCGGATGCATGCTCTTACTAGAGCATGTGTTGAGGTAACGTGCCATAGACACGGTGATGCGTATTTATTAGATTGTGGGTTTCTAGGCAGCGTCAGCGGGCATCTTATGGCAACGCTCAGCAAGAGAAGGATTGGTCAGCAATGCAACACGGCTACATGAACATCTGAAATGATCCCGCCATTCAAAGAAGCTGCGCAAAGGCACGCCAACAGCCGGACCAAATATACCGCCGCGGAATACGGACAGTGAAACAACGGTCTTTGTCTATTGCTTCAGTTCTGTCCGATATTTAGGTCAAATCGGCCAAGATGTGCGATAATTTCATTGGAGGTAGGAACCCAAAGACTAGTAGTCTCGGACAGGTTTGTATGTATCTTCTCAGATTCGAGCGTATAGGCTGCGGTAAAATATTTCATTCTGATGTGTACCGATTCACGCATTTTATGGATTCACATACTTATACACAGGACCGAGGCTTTCTCCCAAGCTTCCCAGGTCGAATTCGTTCGTGTCGTTCAGCGATCGGGTAGTTTACCCAGGCCTTCAGACCCGGCTTGTTCTAACGGTTCGGCACTCTTCCTCACCCGGGACTTACAAGCGACATCGGCCTTCAATTCCTCAGCTTCTGGTGGTAAGCTTGCCAGCGCAAGGACTCATGAAAATACATGGAGGTGGCTCTGACTGAACTCCAGGTGCTGTGTAAATAGCTGCCCAAGCGAGGTTATTCCTCGTACCTAATAACAAACACGTGAGAAGTGACCGCCTAATGAGCGCGCGCTCAAAACGTGAGAAACTCCTTATCGAATTCCGCCGCTCAAGTTCAACACCCGTTCGAACGTGGCTCAGTAAAGAAGCATCAAGTTTACTCGGAATAACGATATCTGAAGTAAAAGAGTCTAAGGACCTTCTGACATGTTCCGTGGCCAACAGAGTCAAGACCGGAAAACGTCTCCGGGTAAGACAAGCCAACGGGTTCCCGAGTGAACCTCCAGAGATCCTTTTATCGCCCGGCATTGTAGTTCATTACAACCATGCAGGATACCGGCTTTTATTGATTCGATTCCAAATAATATACGGAAAACTCTCCACTCTTATGAGGAAATTACCGGTCCGATGACCATTGCCTCCTGGCGTCCATATCCAGTGCAAGTGCGCCGAAGCCAGAACCTCAATAGTTCATGTCCTCCATGCGTTTCACAGCCTATCAGGAACGTCGTTGGCATAAAGCAGAGATAGGGGTGCATGTGCTATCCATGAATGCGAGAATGTTCATCACACAAGAACGGTTTATGTAATGTGCATTCATGCCGTAGATATCAAGTTTTGGGTTAGTGTTTTCCATCACCCTGTATATCGCTCTATGAGGCTAGTAGCCTCCGAAAACCGTACATTTTGACTATTTCTCATCAATGGCCGAAAGCACTTAATCTGCTATTGTGGACGGGGTACTGCCAGTTTTCTATGAATTGGATGGTGGACAGTCCATTAGGCGAGCCATTTCATTGGGTTCGCAAGTCCTATAAAACGCGGATAGAACAACTCGGACCCATTGTGCGACTAAGCGGAGAAATCTGCGGCTCCAGTAAGCGTGGAAAACAACTGTAACACAGCATGCGGAATTTATGGAGCTAGCAGTTGGCAACGCATCAGTACTATAAACTAGAGGCACTCCCGCTGTATGGTCGTCCAGCGCTAAGACAAGCCATGGGTGTAGCAAAGCAGAAAAGCACAAGGTGTCATGTCGGGCACCGCTTCTGCAAAAACAGCTAGGAAGATCGCAGGACGGCATATCGGCTAACTGGTGACTACGCTAAAGCTTGTTCCGTGGGTATATAAAACATTACATGACTGACTGCTTCACCCTACAATCTCAATCAGGTGACCGTATTCGGTAGGAGGCTATGTCCAAGTCACTTCGCTGACCAGTTAAAAGAAATATGATGACAGACCTGGAAACTAAAAATTAATGCTTACTGATGGGACGCCTGTTGCTAAAGAGGAGGCTGCTCATTCCACTGTGTATCGTTCCAGCATATACAGCCGACCCTATAATTAATCAGGGACAGGGGGCTTCAGATGTGCTGCTATCAAAGTATTCCAACAATCCAGAAAGTTATTGGTTTGACAAATGTCTGCCTTGTAAATCTCAGGCGATTCACAATGAAGAATATTATAAGAAATTTCCAAAAAGCCATATAGAGAGCGGTAATTGCCGCATTCATTCATGGAGTTTGCATCTGCAACGTCGGGAAAACGATCCAGCAATGCTTTGCGCTGATAACCGAGACAAAAAGGCCCAAAAATCTCAAGATATTTTGTTTACCTGGATGTTATAAATTTGTAGTAATGGGATCCAGTGACAATAGGGGTTGGGCAGTCTCTATTCAAACCGCTGCCGCCCATTCAACAGATAAGACGAAATTCCCTCAGCCGTTAAACGCATTTTACTTGCGTTTCGGATAGATTTGTTGACAAAAATCACGAATACTAGTCGAATAAAAGCAATCACCATGTCTTTTCGACGAACAACCTAACCAGCTGGTTGTGAGTGAAAGTTTGACAGTGGCTTCAGTGAACTAGAACGTGGCTCGAAAAGAAACGTATAAAAAATGTAGTTGGGCAACTGGTTTGCTGGGAGCAAAACCGTTGTTCAATCCTTGCTCATTCTCTAGGGCTTCATATTAATACGGCAAAGGAGAAAATTGAAGAACATTATTCGTGGGTAAACTCAAATAAAAAATTATTTTATTTATTTTATTTTTTGCTTCCGTTGAATCGCTCTGACCCGCTCAACCGGGTTCAACTTCGGAACCTTGCATATGAACGGTCTTGCCCAGCCACAGTCTTGCTTATTATCCGGTTCTACTGAACATTAACACCGTGCAAAACTTTAGTACCGGCTATCTGGTATACTCGAGTTGACCACTTAATAGATACTCTCATAGGTACATCCAAGGGCTTAACCAACACACCACTAGCGGTCTAAACAGCCACAACTGGCAACGTTGTGGAATATAGGTGGTTCGGGAGCGCTTACCAGTAGTTGGTCTGCTGGTCGAGTTAGATAGCAAACTTTGCACCAACAGTCGAGGTGATATCGTCAGTGCGGGGTCACTGACATACAGCTTCGCTACTACATACCAAGCAATATGCAGCAGTTTTGCCTCCTCCCGCGGCGTCGTTCGTGGAGTTTAAATTGTAATGGCCTGATGCGGCTTTAACTGCACAGCTTTAGACGCATAACCAAAATTTCTCAGAAAATCAAGTTCGAAAGGTTCGTTTTCGCGCAATCATGAGTATTCACGACTGACACCGGTTATTACTTGTCCCACTGTGACTGTATGAATATGCCTGACGGCATGCCACCTACACCTTGCGAATAGAATTTTCACTATTAATGATACCAATCAACACAGCTCATTTCATGCTTGTAGCCGCCGAGCGCCACAATGCCTGACAATCTCACTGCAGCCACATTACCAAGAACATTATTCACAGGCCATAGGCCCGAGTTTTCAGGCTTCACAGATTCACGGATTGATACACAGGATCGAGGCTTTTGCCCAAGATTCCTGGGTTGGTTTGGTCCTTGTCGTTCTGCGGCTGTACTTCACATGAAAGACAAGTGAAAAACGGGTGTAGCACTACTCTTCATGTTCTCAGTGCGGGGAAGTATGCTTGCCAGCGCGAGGATTCGTATAAATAAATGCCTAGTAGCGCTTTGAACTTCGTTCTAGAAGGAGTGTTGCAGAAGAGTCGGCAGAAGTTTATTCCACGCAGCTATTACCCGAAATGAGAAAATTTTGCCTAATGAATGTGTGCGCTCTGAGCTTCAAAATCTCCTTACCATGTCCCCGCCGTGTGTTTGCTGGGTCTACGGTGAAAAGCCTGTTTGCCAAGCTTTGTTCGAACAGGGCTTAAGTAAGAATTAGGTCCCCTCGGAGGCAGCGATACTCCGGGGAAAGAGGTCGAGCACTGCGAGAGGCGTTTCGTAGTCCACTGATTTTAGGCCAGCAAACATTTTCGTAGCGGCTCGCTGGACACGCCCAATGATGGTGAAGTATTTCGTGCGCCCTGAGTAGAAAACTTGGTTGGCGTATTCCAGGAGAGGTCTGACATAGGCCTCATGGAGTATTTGAAAGACCATGCGAGTAATACGGGAGAAGGTGCGTCGGACCATCTGTAAAATGGCGAATGTCTTTTGGGCCGATTTCTGATGATGCAGTGAGAAGGACAAGTTTGAGGCAAAGGAATCCGTCGCAGCTACTCGGGTTGGTAAATCTCTGTTATATTTAGTATATGCTGTACTGGGCGCACGGCAATGTTTTCTCTTCACTGGTTTACTGCCTCGCTGATTGGATTTAGTTGATATATGGGCAGTGCTAGCAGACAGTACGGTGAGCAGTCCAGCCCTCTGGGTCAGGCACCGCGGGACGCGTTGCTAATCCATGGAGGTGAGGCCTGTAACACCTTCACCGGGACACATTTTCCATTGTCTCGAAAGACAAGGACATACGCACCTCCAAGTAAGCTAGGTGTGCTCATCCAAATATGCCTTACTTTTTCTTAGGCCCAATACAATGTGATAAAGCTGCCCACTCCAGATATGCCCCACACACCGAAAATGACTAAGGTACATCTGAGCCTTGCATTTTTCCCACAGTTTTTGTTTCTCCGGTCCCAATCCATATCAGTAGATTTGTCTTTATTCCGTTTTTTAAGCCGCAGGTCTTCAGTTCGCTTTAAATGCGGCTCCCTTTCCTACCCCCCCCCACAACCTGGGACAGCCTCTTTTCTGGCCACCATACAATACCTCCGATTTCATCACCTTTTTGTAACGCCTCAGCTTTTCTTTGACTTTTCCTATTTCTTGAGGTAAATACGTCACCCGTTCCCACTGACTACACACCACTTGCGCAAATATTGATCGTGCCAGTATCGCAAACATAGCTGTTGAGTTTACAAAGACTGCTTGTCCGCGTCAGATAATTTGTGGCTGGGTGTCAAGCATTTGTTCCACGGAGATCCAGGGGCAAGAGCTCACCACCCAGGGAAACTCGCCCTATTCGAATTTTCACCCGTACACGTTGATAGGATATATTCTCACTTATACTGAAGCCGCCTCAATTCCAGGCGGATCTAAACCTCTGTCATCTTCCGTTCCTAACTTTTGTGGATGGAACACATCCTTCCATATTTAATGCCTAAGTATTGTGGAGTCAGACATAGGTATCAAAAACAACGAAGAAAATACTCTGATCACGACAGACAGACCGCTGAGGCTGCTGTTTCACCACACGTAGCCGCAAACGGAAGCGAAGCGCACACTCATTATTATGAGAACTAGAGAAGGAAGAAAGAAAAATGCTGGAATTTAGGACCCAGTGGACGCCCGCTACACAACGGCAGAATGCGCACGCGATGCTCCAACTATCTCACCTCACAAACGTTTACCTAACGCTTATGAGCAAACGATTAACTGTTATGTTTATTTTTGTTATTCGTAATTGCAGGCTCAATGCCGCCCAANGTGCGCAACCGCTCTTGTGGTTTCTTCCATTTTATCGCAATTTATGACGGAAGGCCTCGGTCACCTGGCATTGAACGAACATGCGCTTAGCCATTTGGGTGAAAATACCTATGTGTCCGACAAAGAAAAGCCGGTTTTTTCTCATGCCAGACCGCTGAAAGCTCGGAGAGACGTTCGCCAATCCTCATTTCAATTGGTATGCTTCGCTTTAGACTAAAAGGCAACCTGCTTGCTTATCGCTGAAAAACAACAGGTAGACTTACCTAAGTTCAATTTCTTGGGAGCAAGCTGAATGGGCCCAAAGGACATTCTCGTGCGTTGTTTGGATAGCCTGGAATTCCCTATTCTCTATCTCTCCGGTTATTTTTTCTGTGAATGATTGGTACTTCGAGGCCAGGATCTGTGTAAGAATTAAGTTTCGTACGTATATCAGTATAACCAGACGAACTAGAAATCCAGAATTCTGTGCAGGGTAACAAGTAGCACGTATGTATCCGAACTGGTGTATATGTACAGCATATGGAATATTAAACCAAGAGAATAATGAATAGAGCAATGAACAGAGTATCAATCATGTTCATCACAATCTGCTTGGTGATTGTTCTTTTGTTCCTGGTCACCATTGTGAATTTCGAGGGTCTACGAAACTTTCCGTAGTAATAATTAATACGTGCGGATATGTCTTATCTACAATCTCTAGTGGCCTCTTTCTCGCCAACGGCCTTCGCTTACTATCTGGGTTCTTAGTGGCCGTACATACAGTCCGGCCCCCACCACATTCACCTTAACAGGCTTGGGCAACATTATTTAAAATGCATGCAGCGGCAACGGTTTGGAGATTCGGACGATTTCTGAAAGCGCCATCTCGAACCGGCATCCCGAGCATGCTGAATCGTGACCGACTGGTCGATCCACATTTTCGGTCAATCAGACATCACATTGATGCATGCAGCCCCATATTTTAACCAATCACATGGGGTTGTGTTCCTTCTCCGTAGCAGCGCCTAACTGCGAGTGGTGAGGCGGTTTTTCGTAGGAGTCAACCTACCTCCAATAACATGTTGCCACAGCCCTGTGTGCCTTCTTACGACCTGATTTTCAACATATGTATGTCATTTCGTGCCTACCGTTGCTACCATTTCTCCTACGTGGACATGGGTAGTTATAAATGCTGGCTCTTCAATTTTCTTCTTCCCTCCGTACGTTACCCATGGATTTTCTCGTTTTCCAGCTGCTGTGTAAACATAGGCCTAAGATTCCATTCTACGAGGCTTTGACATCCTACTCGCATGCATGTCAATTGTATCGGTTGTGCTGATGATTACATTTATCTGATGTTTTAAACTTAGAGACCTAAACGGCAACACTGTGTTGCTCAAATGTAGGGAAATAAGATGGCTTGTTTCAAATGATCTTTTACTGGTTTAACATCTCACATAATCAAAGTATCACTGAAGCTAACAGAAGAACCGTACGTTGGCCAGTGCTAGCAACTCAGGCAGGAAACCGCTACCGCTGTGTCATTTTCGTTACCATTATTAGCACAGGTAATTTTAAACCAAGGTTTGCGTAAATGCGATGTCTCAAAACCCACACGTAAGGTTTCTGGTACCATGCTTGGCTTAAGAATACCTATGTAATAGAAACCAGCAGGCATACGCAGACCTGGGCTACATTACAGGAATTACAGGAAGACCAAGCATACCAAAGTGCCAAAAAACTCCGGACAGGTTCCTCGTGTCTTTGTCTCACCACAATCACAACTTACACCACCCCAGAAATATGGGGTCAAGGAAGCTTTCTTGCTGCCAGAAGCAAATGTAACTATTTGTCGGAAATGCTTGCCGGTGGAAGGAGACATTGAGTTCGGTGAACACCACTTTAATTTCTCCTTTGTTCTCTTAATCCCATTGCACAATGAATATTTACTCGGGTTATATCATATGTATAATATATGTATGACAGCTCACAGCCGGATTCCCTCCAGTTCAAATCAGCAAATAAACCTAATCCGAGTACCATTCAACCTACGTTCACTTGCTTTTGTTCCGAGGCCAGCAAACGACCATCCGTCACGGTGTTGGCGCGTTTGCATTATCATGAAGCTAAGCATGCTTTTTTGCGTAAGTCAATTGCGGTTCTGGGGTGTTTCATCCCAAAAAATCGTGAAGTTGCTACCCTATTATACTCCCTCGGCCTGGTAAGCCTGTATAAAATATGGGCGTGTCAGTAGTTACTTACGTGGAAACTTGGTCCGCCACCAAACTTCTAACCTTAACTGTCAGAATCTTATTGGCTGAACTCGTCCATCAAATCTAACTGTCTCCGTGTTCTGCGGTGCCTGCTTCTGTCCCGCCATAAAATATGGTAGTTTGCTGCATAATATCAACCATGTCCTACGTCTTAGCAGCACTTGATGCAGCCCAAACAACCTGCAAAATTACCTCTCTTCCAAAATTAGAATCGGCGAGTTTATCGGGTTTCACAACGCACCATTATTCAAAGGTTAAAACTTATGTTTCTTCCTACGATTACTTGGTAGACTTGCAGACGGGAGATGGAGCCATTTGCAGGGCTCAAGAAGCGGATCATTGAGCAATTAAGCAAAATGTCCCGTTGCAAACCTTTCAGCAAAAGTTCTTGGATCACTTGCAGTCCTGTTTAAAGTGCCATTTTTAGGACATAAGATGTGGAATCACAAGTCTCACAACACAAGCGCAACCTGCCTTGACCGGTAGCTTTAGATTCACCCTCTCTCAGCTGCATCCACGTTTTAGGCATCCCTTCCCGCTGATTAATTTAGTTTTTATTTAAGCTTGATTTATTTTACAAGCAAATTACTACATTTACCACTAGAATCATCGTTTGTTTGTCTCCGCTGCTGATCTCACTCGTTGTACGGACGTCTGCCCCCCATGGATAACGGAGTCCCCAGATGCTTGGTGTATTTGGTGCCCGCATGCAATTTTGGGACTTCAAGGTGCCATCGGCAGGCCGGGAGGCAGCAAGAGGATTACGGATAAGGAAAAATAGATGCCATTGCGTTTTATCAAAACTACCGTTCAGTTGTTGGACCCCAACTGTATCGTCTGCCCCGAATCGGCATTCAGCTGTTTTTTACGCCCTTACAAAGTGTGCCAAGTGATCTTTTATTCAAATTCCATAACCATACGGCAAATGACTATTGCTAAAGACAAGTACCTAAGCGGCCATCCAAACATCTTCGCCCAAGATTGCACCGTAGCCATCATCGTCCGCAATGGAGCAACATAGAGGGTGACGCAGACTTTGCTGAGGGCAAACAAAGCGAACATAGAGGGGACGTATCGTCCTCTAACGCCGCTTTGCGCTTGCATGGACTGCAGATAAGCAAGGAAGAATAAGGTTGCTAAAGAACGATTTACACAAGGGCGAAACTCTCTTCAGCGGAATCCACTACTACAGGATGTCACATTAATGGACGAGGAAGTGCTTAACAAACGTTATACGGCCACTCAATTCATTTTGGCAGACCTGATGATACTGGTGGAAAACAACGCACGGTTTTTCAGTTTTCATGATAACGAAATCTTGAGTCATGTTTCTAGTGAGAACGGGCTTTAGCAAACACAGATAGGAGGCACATTGAATACACGGGCTGTAGCCATATATTTTGGTACCAGAGATATGACAACCGAATATTTTCTAGAGGACCTGACGACAAAAGACAATAGAACAACAGTCTTTTAGGGGTTTTGTAATAGTAGAAATTTTGGACAACGCTTATGGGGGCAGTGAATTCTCAGCGAAAATTCAACTACTTACAGAGGATGCAATAAACGGACTATTTCTCGCACAGGTGACGCCAGTGTCCGTGGTGCCTACGGAACAAAACGAGAATTTTCTATTGTTCGGTTCCGCAGAAATTGTTTCGCTACATAATTTATTACTTTTTTTCATTTTCTGATCGCTGTACATACCAGGCGTTACAGTTTTTTGTCAGGTTTCGTTTTTAGGTACCTCCGCCATTTACACGTGACTTGACCTGCGCGGTTCCCATTTGGTTGTTCGGCCCTCCTAAATGACTTCGCGTACCGATAGTTTGTTTACCTGAGACACATACTTTTCTCAAGAGAATCCAAGCAATGTAAGGCATCTGCCCACATGAACAAGTTCACCGAATCTTGAAGAAGCGCGCAGCTTCATAGAAATGACACGTTATTACAGGTGGGCTACAATGAAAATAGCCTATTTAGAGGGATATTCATTGTCTCGACGAACCAATCAGATCCTCGGTGCAAAGCCTTAAAGTGGCTAACAGGAAAAATATCAGATGGCACGAAGTCCCCCAAATGTACAATTACGAATGTATCCGGTGATTATGTGAAAACAGAGCAAACTGATGAGTCTTCCAGAAGGAAGAAATGGTACACATGTGCGGCTTAGGGAGCGCTCGACAGTGAACATTCGATTCGTGGACGTGGTAAAATGTGCGGCAAATAGACCCATAATCGAAGATTTTTTATAAAGTTGTGAAAAGTGGAGCCTAGCAGTGAGATAATCGGGGTCAAAAATTAGGAACCTAGGTTTACCTAGTCACTACAGCGCTGAGTGACAATGATAAATGACCTATTATAAAGTATGCATCAATCAACATGACCTGGAGGTTTTACCACAACTGCTGGTGCTCAAAATGCTGAACGAAAGCCCGAGGCACGTTTGTATAAACAAACCAGAAAATACGACCCGCCGACTCCACTGGTAGCCCCACTACTGCCGAGGGTTTGCCAAACGTTGCAGCCTACGCCGAACATTTGGAAGTCTCAGACAAAACACAGCACCACATCCAACCATGAAAACCGCCGCTTAGAACAAAGATGTGGTAGCAGATATCTTGAGACCAGTAGATGACTAGTAGATGACATGAGTGGATTATTCCACCAAATTGTGTGAGACATCTGCACTTCTTCAGGTTGATTTAACCTGTGGTAAACGCACCGAGCTAAAATTGGATTTGGCTAACTACGCTACTTCAAAAGTAACCAAGCCTGCAGGGATTAGAAAGTAAGAAAACTCGTACCATACCATATCACCTTCAAGGTAACGGGGCTGGTCGAAAAATTAACCTGATCCTACAAGACACTCCCAAAGATATGTGTTCAAAGAAACCACAACGTTAGCATGTTGTGTAGGGTAGCTCGGGTGCGCTGTTTGGTTGTTGGTCTGTTCGCCGAGCTTGGCAGTTGGATTGCAAACGTTTCATCATCAATCGAGGTGACATCGTCAGTGCAGGGTTGAGTGGCTGAATTCCTCCTCTTCTGCGACGACCGTCTCCAGAACTACCAAATACTGTTTAGAAGCTATATAATCACAGGCAGAAGAGGAGGAATTCACCCACTCAACCCTGCACTGACGATGTCACCTCGATTGGTGATGGAACGTTTGCAATCCAACTGCTAAGCTCGGCGAACAGACCAACAACGAAACCACAACGTGTGGGGACAGACACCTCCTTGAGTTTTTTTTTACGCAAGGGAGTTCGGTATAGAAGTCCACCTGCAAAAATAGCTTTTTAGAAAACAGCCCGACATTGGGCTCTGAGTTCTTTAACCAAAGCTAAATGCAATAGAAACATGACGGTGATTTGTGTTGAATCAACTGACCCTAAAGGAGCCAAGTGGTGGCAAGCTAGTCGAAACACACTGATCAAAATTCCAGATACCTTAACGGCGGAAGTGAGTGAACCATGAATGTATTTAACTGAGGTGTGCAACCAGAATGCCACAAACGTCAGTCAATAATGCGTTTACTCTGGGCCTTGCTGACAGGGAATGAAATACGAATTTGGGCAAAGATCAACCAGTTTGGAGCCGCATTGTCCTTTTGATGCACTAGACTGAGAGACAACAGAATAGTCAAGGTTTACATAGCGACACAGTGCGGAAAAGGGCCAAGGCTGACTGCCAAGGCAAGTAAAGGAGCGGATGCAACGTAAACATACTTCGATTCCACAAGATATCCAATGGTTAGCTCTTGTCTTTGTCTTTCGGTGAGTACCTTACTATAGAACGCTCAGCTTGTGGATAACCATTTTGCATCTGCCCTAAGGCACCCAATAATAAACGCAGCCGATCTGCTGTTGTCAACTGCACCTTTTTCGTTTTTCTAGTGCTCACACATACATGAATAAATAGCCAATTCGTACGGACAGCCTGTTTTCGGGTAATTCAAGTTACTTTCATTAAACCAGAGGTTGTTCATAACCATAAAGCTGGGCAAACTTATCACAGTTTAATGCATTGGTTTAATGCATCAGGAGTAAACCTTGGGAGACCGATTTGTAGAGCCTTTTAAGCGCAACAAAAACGACCGGTTTGAAATGAGCTAAAATAATTATTTTTAGCTTTGGGTGACAAACCGATTGACGTTGGTGGGTGGAGGGCGAATTTCTGGCTAATACGTAAACATTATCTTTTGTGAAATAGAGAAAACGGACCGTGCCCTCCTCTCCACTTTTGGTCAAGCACCAAATTTTGGATTGCCCTCATACTTTTAGTCTCTGCAGGGGCAAATACGCGTATATCAGGACGAGGAAGAATTTGTAGCACGTCAGAATAAGTGACGGACAGCTAATAGCACCACGGATGTGAATACCTAAATAAAATATCATGGGGATTGATGGATCCGACACCGGAGCAGCCACAGCGCGTAGGGGGGGGCACGTGATGAAGGTCCGCATAATATACTGGTGTGGCAGCTGCGATTTTGTAAATGAAGGTAACCACGGATATGTGTACTCACAACAGAATATCGGCAACAAGATTCAGGTCACGTAACAAACTATATTTATTTCTGGCTTTAGTCGTTCTTTGGATGAGTCCGGGCACCTTCCCCGCATTTCTCGTATTGGCCTCTGGATACTCAACGGAGCCTACATCAGACCGATTCTTGAACTTTCCAAGCGAAACGTCTTCTTATGACACAAGATAAACGTAGCCCTTACTGAGCGTGTCCAACGAGCTGCTACGAAAATGGTATTTGGCGTCCAATCCAGTGAATATGAAACGCATCGTGAGGTGCTTATAATATTCTCTCTAGACGGTTGTTACCTCATAGGGAACTAAACTTACGCCTTGTTGCAGTCAGGATTGTTTGACGGGTCTTCCCCCATTGACTCAATTTACACATGAATGAGACTGATAAGATGATGTTTAAGCTCAGGCAACAATTTTTCTCATTTGATGCGTTCCTCCGACTGTCACTCAAGCTGCATCTGGAACCCAGTCTAAGACATCTTGGATACTTTTTCGTTTGAGTCTACACCTTGATAAGCTTGCTATCCAGCGCTGAGAACTAAAAAAGCGACACCACACGCTTTTTGCGCTTGTGCCTTTTAGATGAACGGAAGCCGGTGAACGACAAGAGGAAACCCGAACCGGGAAGCTTGGGCGAGATCCTACATCCTGTGTATCAGTCGATTATCTGTGAAGCATGCTTTATGGATGACACTCTGGAGGTACTCGCTGGAAAGAACAGGGGAATAGTTTTCGAGAAATACACTAATTTGCAAATCAATTTGGTTTTCGTAACAGACTCAACTGAATTATTCTTTTATGATGTTCTACAACTGAATGTGCTGCACACAGGCCGCCTCATGTTTCAGTTGGCACGATATTCGAGATATCGCAGTATATTTTCACGAAAGATTGCTATCGAAGAGTTTTTAGCAACCTTGTGAGTAGTTTCCTTCGGGGCAATAGTTTGTTTAGTGACAATATCTTGAGATCGGCAATAACTTGATTCTGAAGCGCCTGGGAAAAAGCATGGTTTTTATACCCCCTTAGCAGAAACCCAGAAAGACAGGTAAAAACCAGCTCTTTGAGAGAATACCAAACCGAACAGAAGCCGCTCCTTGTATACCGAACGGGTATCTTGATCCACGCGATCCACGGTTTTCATGCCTGCGGGACGTCATTGTTGACCTGGCTAGCGGGAGTGACGAAAGTTACATCTAATTGACGTCAGTAATTGTGAGAGTGCCCAACTAAAAGCTAAAGGCTTGTTATCGATGCAAAAATGGTGCTTTATTCTTAGTTTTATACAAAGCCGATCATGGCACACGTCTGTGACAATGAACCTGTTGACCATTTCTCGGCGGTGAGTGAAAATTGTTCATCATTCAACGCCACTTGTCGACAGTGACATTGCAACGTTGCATTACTGCGACTTAATACTTTTCCGGCTATAATAGGCAGTTTAGAGAAGAAATTTCAACCCATAGACTCATATTATATATACTTTATGGTCCCTTATTAATGTTTACAATTTGTTGAACCCTTGTGATAAAAAAACTTGTTATAAATGTCACACGTTCACATACGTTTATACGACCAGGAAGCTGTCCATGGGTGATTCTATCATCACAGTTAAATTGCATTGAGTGCTCTGTGTTTCAGAAACCTATGCCTCCGCATCAGCCTATTTAGGATGACGGTGTCATCTGATACAGGAATGAGTATTCCATAAATTTTGTATCACGGAGTGCATTTTTGGCTGCAATAAACTGCACACCTTATTTATTCTGGGTGCAAAATACCCAAAACACGCAGTTATTTTCAGTCGAACACGTTTCGGATCAAGCTGTTATTTGATTCTATAGCAAAGTAAATCCGAAGCCCAGGGGATTTATGTTGTTGAAAAGTTACTTACCAGGGAAAGCAGTCATCGTCGAAACACACCTAAAAACTGGGAACCTTGGAAACGCCGCTGGTTTCGAGAGCCGATTTTAATTATGCGGACATTGGGAGGCGTTTCACGCCTACAATAATATGTTTAGAAAATGCACTCAAGCTAAACGATGCCACAACCATGTGAATATAGATCACCGCGGGAAACATCTAGACAGATAAGTTGATTACAAGGCGCAGAAGCGTGAATCACGACACGCCATGAGAACGGTGCGAAGGAAGATGATTATGCCGTGGTCACTAAGGAAGAGTTAGAATGTCCCAGCGGAGGCTGGAACAAACAGCAAGGTTGAATTTTTATCTCCACTTATGTGAAGGAAAGAAATACGCCTAGGCGTATCGCATGAATTGATGCCGTCAGTCTTCTACTTGGTGCTTGGATAGCAAGGATCGACTTATGCAGTGGATATTGATGGAACTGCTGACTTCCGCGGTGGTGTCAGTCGGTCATACGGGGCTTGGCTGGTGACCGCGCTGGGTCGCCAGTTGTGCCAGGCTTGGAATGTCAGCCAGATTTAATTAGGTTTCATTATGAAGTAGCATCAGGTGCATTTAGGATCATAGGGCAGGGATTTTAGACGCTTTTGTAAGGTTGGTGGTGATCGCGAGTCTGCGATTCACATGCGCATCATTCCCATTCACACAGTCCTCCCCCTGTCTCACGGCAATTATCCCGATTGATCCACACAAAAGAAGAAGCACCGGTTGTAATTTTACTGCCATTGGAGGTCATCATAAGGGCATAAACTTGGCCGTGCAGGGACTTGAACTTTGAACAATTCAAGTGCTTTCAGCCTTACTTGGATCTTGGATGTCCGGGGTCGGAACTGCTCCTATGAATTTCAGTCAAATCTCAATCAAGTCATCTGGTTTGACGTGGGTTAAGACGACTGGCGAAAGTCATATCCATTCGGTATGAAAGTTAGGCTTTTCCTCAAAACTTGTATCTTCAGTCCTAAGTTGAAATAATTGCCTTAGTTTGAAGGATAGATGAATTCCTAAGGGTTGTTTGGCCCTTCCCAAGGGCGCGAATTTTATACTTTCCAACTTCAAACTTCTGAAAAGTTCCACGCTCTAAATGCAATTTACCTATCCGGGTTGTTCATTCGGCCATATAGCCGCCGTAACTGCTGTTTTTCATTCCACTCAACAGATGAGAAAGATATTTATTTCCAGTTCATTTCCAAGAGGGGCGCTTTAGGCGGGACAAAATTTATAAAGTATGAAAAACCAAAAACCAAGCTTTGCGTTAAACGATACTGCCAAGACGTTCTTAATAAAATCATAAATTTCTCTCACGTTCAACTAGTTGCGACGGGTGCAAGTTAAAGCGCCCATGACGCATTTCTGGAGCGGATTAAAGTGGCATTAACTTGAATTTGACTTGAGACAGTCTAAATTGTTGTCTGATTTATTTTCGGTTTCGAATGCCTAATTTAGTCATTATCCTCCTAGGCTTCTGAAGGCATCCGACGTACCTTCTCCCGTATTACTCGCATGGACTTCCAAATGCTCTATGGGGCCTACGTCAGACCGCTCCTGGAGTACGCCAACCAAGTTGTCTACTCAGGACGCACCAAAGACGTCGCCCTCATTGAGCGTGTTCAGCGAACCGCTACGACAATGTTTGCCAGGCTCAAATCCGTGGACTACGAAACGTGTCTCGCCATGCTTGATCTCTTTCCCCTGGAGTACCGTCGCCCCCGAGGTGATCGAATTCTTACTCATGCCCTGTTTGAACAAAGCTTGGCAAACAGGCTTTTTACCGTNGCTTGATCTCTTTCCCCTGGAGTGCCGTCGCCTCCGAGGGGACCTAATTCTTACCTACGCCCTGTTTGAACAAAGCTTGGCAAACAGGTTTTTTACCGTTTACCCAGCAAACACCCGGCGGGGACATAGTAAGAAAATCTTCAAGCTCAGGGCACACATTCATTAGACAAAACTTTTTTTCATTTCGGGTAGTAGCTGCGTGGAATGACCTTCCTCCGACGGTTGTGCACGCTCCTTCTCGAACCCAATTTAAAGCACTATTAGACATTTGTTTATGCGAATTTTCGCGCTGGCGAGGATACTGCCCCGCGCTGAGAACATAAAGAGCAGTGCTACACCCTTTTTTCACTTGTGCCTTTCAGGTGAACGACAGCCACTGACCGACAAGAACAAAACCGACCCGGGAAACTTGGGCAATAGCCTCGATCCTGTGTATCAATCCGTGAATCCGTGAATCCTACTCAACTTGCTGGTTCACTTTCCAGCTGGCACACAGTATCAATAATTTTTTTCTATTTTATCCCAAAGATTTTTGTTGGACACTCTGATGACTAGCCTGATTCAGGAGACAGAGTTTGTGTGACGCACATTTCGGTTACTCTTAACTCAAGTACTGCCCATTCAAAATATCAGCGTGAGTAGTACTCAAGTTCTGGGAGAGCAGGAGAAGTAAAGGAAAGGTTAGGGGAAAATAAGGGATCGAAATTTAGGAAACTCCTGCTGAGTGACTGGCTATGCACAGCCACATTGGGCAGATAGCTAACCTTAATCTAATAAATGAGTGTCTTCCGTTCTACGTGACCACCGCTTAAGTTCTATCCGAGGGGATGAAAGTCGATTAGGCGAGTTGTCGCAATGTGTTGGCTATCGTGGTGTTTGTTTCAGCTCACTGAGTTCATTTTACGGGGTGACTGCTCACCTCCAACCATAATCCTTATTCCTTTCAATTGCTCAAACGTCCGTTAGGGTGCAGATGGTGTCCTCCTCTCTTCCAGTTCCTTTTTTAATCAACAGGGTGGTGAGTTTCAACACTGATCCAAAGAATTAAAACTCCCTGACTTATTTTGACGCCACATTCTTGATGACAAATGGGAAGGAGTTGAATAGTAAACTTGTCAGCGCGTATTACTGGTTTGTCGAGTGTGGAATTCCAGGGTGTCCTTCAACGTCGGAGTTATCATTCTGCTCATAAATTTCCGCTACACCGCCCGTGGAGATGATTGAGTCTGGCAAGTACCCTGATACAGTAGCCGCACTCGGATAGTTCTGAGCCACAGACCTGGAGCCTGAGGTCTACTTCCGCGTGTTAACAACGGAAAATGTGCATTAAGTGTGTATTATCTTGACTCCTGAGCAGATTCTATCCTCACTGATGATTTTCCGTCGGGATAGCATGTACTTCCCGCAAACGTTCACGCAGACTCAACTGGTTCCAATTGAGAGGGACATTTTTATTGCTATCACAACTCCTAAGACAAGGCGGCATGGCAACCTGCTTTGTTTTCCCTGCCACTGTTCTTGGCGGGTTTATTTCTTCATACACCCATTCATTTGTGGCTTTGCGCCGTGAGCGAAACAAGCGTTTCGTACTGTGACGTACCTTTGACCATGTCACCAGAGGCTGGCGAAAATATCCGGGTTGTACTGAATTCATCTGAAATCTGCCCGTAAAATAGATCCATGCATTCGTATTGGCCACATGGAGCCGTTATGGTTAATTTTCTGCTCCAGAGACGGACGTAAGCAATGAGGTAGCATAATACTTCAAGCATAGAATGTCCTGGCAACGCAACTAACTGGTTAAACTAGGTGGAATTTGGAAAGCGAGAACTGAACATCATTAAAGTCACAACCTACGGAACGATACCTCATCCTCACCCCATCTAGGGTTCAACCTAGAACCGTGAGAATAAGCAGTTAACATACACTGGACTGTTAACGAGTATATGCATGCTATCCTCTGGTTCGAAAGTTTCGTTGAATTCCCTGTCGGGCTTTTGGATCACGATGAAAATGCATGCAATCTCCACAAAATTTTTCAAATTTGCTCTGGAATTCGGATAGTGTGGCATACCTATCCTCTACAGAATGTGTTTCGTTAAGCTATATTTAAGCTCAAAAACATGCGGTTTTGTGGAATGCTGTATCATATAATTTTTTATTACAATCGTGCGTCCATTCCTCCGGCAGAAAATTTAACACGCCGGTTGAGTGCTGGTTACACTAATAGTCCTCACAGGAGAGCAATTCAGTTCAAAAGAATGTAAAATATAAAAGCCATGCTGTCATCTATACCGATCAAATAATGTCACTTTAAGTCTATGTCATCAAGTTCAAAATTGTTTTCCTCACTCTGGCAATTCATCAAGTAGGCAAATTTTCTGTTTTGCATTAGACATTTGTTCAGTGTCAGCGCTGTTGATACGTTCAAAAGCTACACGCTTTCCAGGAGAACGGTAATTTGCGTCCATCCGGGGGGACAGTTTCTATTCAGCTCAGGCGGTAGGCTGGATTATGAGCTGGATCGTCGAACGTGCCCCACTCGTCAGGTTCCATAAAACGCCCAAGTTTTTAATGCCCCAGACGACGGTAAATCTTCTTTTTTCCGTATTCAGTGTACACAGATTCATAAGTTTCGCATTCGACTCTGAGACGTGCAACGTTTCCTTCATAACAAATAGAGTGAACACTTTTAATGCTCGTCTTGACTCTACACAGGTGATACACGCCCCCATCGCCCTAGGAACGTTTCCCTAGCACAATGACTGGTCCCATTAACTAGACTACATTCATCTCTCGCTCGGTAGAAACACGTCCCACTAAACGACGCAGGCGTATCCTGGTCGACAACCTGCAACGTCGATTTCCTTTATGCTTCCCTCCTTGCGCAGAAGTTAGTATGAGAAGAAAGTTAGATTTTGCTGTTACGAGCATCCGGTTAAGATACAATTTACCTGGTAGTTAGTTGTTTTTCCCAGATGACAGTGTGATTTTTCATGATGAAATTTCAGTTTTGTGAGATGATACTTTCCAGCAACAATGTTTTTTCTGTTGCACCCAAACCGATCGGGAAAACGAAATGTTTTCTACTGGTATAAGTCTTGAAGCTCAACAGGAAATTCATGGCAGCGTACAGGAAAATGGACAAGAGTTATGGAAGCAACGGAGCTGCTGTGTCGGTGCTAATAATTGGCGAACTAAGTGTTCAGAGTGAGTGTCAAATCACTTCTCTAAAATGGCAATGTAGAGGACTAAAAAGGGAGGTAGGGCGAAGCGACAAACTGGGTTCTTGCTAGTATTGATGATTGTTAAAAACCTAACGCGGAACCCAGTGATAACGCATTATGCTACCGTGCCAAAAAAATTTTGCACGTCTAATTTACCACACAGAAAAATCAACATACAGTGTCCAGCTGATCTGGCCTTTTCGCCTCTCGTTTTCCAACAGATTTGAAAATAAAGTCCAGAAAACGCATCGCGTGTCCATCATCCATTGTGTTGCTTAATTTTTCGTGTTATATCACTTTCATGTCCACATTCTAGTTGATGGACGAACGGTTTTGTGCATGTCTATAACAAATACTTACATTAAAGCCTGTGGATTCCATATTTTCGGTGCGGGTGGGGTCACAACTAGCTCCAGCTGTGTCCCTACACTGTCGGCTTCCCATTGGTGAACAAACTGTGGATAAGCTGAACTAATGTTTTGAGAAGTGTGTCGGCATCTGATCACAGGCTGTACTGACAGTTTCCACGTGCTAAGATACCTGACAGCTCCCCACCTGCTCTTACGAATTCGATGGTTAAAATTTTATGACTATACTATGCCTAAAACAATAGCCAACAACGGTCCAGTTTGACCAAACTTTTATGCGCTGCTGGTCACTCCATATATCTCAGTATTAATCAAAAGAAACATTTGCTGTTTACTTTTACGTTTTGTTTTCCAAAGGATGGGAGAAACCGTATGAACAGAGAATTACATACGTTGCAGCATCAGAAACTGATCGATACGTTCACAGTCATGTTGAATTCCAAGACAAGAATTGCTCCGACATTCTACGCGTGTCATTCGAAAGCGATCGGTAGCCATTTCATCGCTCTGTCGCACCGAAGCGGATCCAGTTTGAAGTTATTCTCTCCGCATCTACCGGCAAGATACTGTCGACGAAGAGTGTCAAATAACAGGTTCTAGAAGGTGGATCATAGTAGAAGGATCGGCAGACATCATTGAGTTTGCATCTAAAAGAATGACGGAAAACATGATACTACATCAGTAGTGAAGAGATTCGCATTGGACTGCAGGACTTGCATTTAAAACCGTTTAGTTCGCGAATCATTTTCCTTCCATCGGGTTTCACGCGGACAAGTTGGCTGTGTTTTAGTTACTTTTGGCCTCTAACTACCAATGACCAATAGCATCAAGTCATCTTTCTGACGTACCTTGAGTCTAGAATACCAGTATGGACCACTAATTAAGCAAACCAATGGTCTTAGATCAGCTCCACTATGTCAGCCTTCTGGTCATATTCGCTTGAGTTTATAACATAGGGCAGTGTCCATGCTTTCTAAATGCAGTTCGGTGCAGGCTTCTTGTGGTTGTGTCAGTCCTGCGCACAGTTCCTTTGGCATAGTTCGATTCGAAAAACTTTACTTAGCGACAAATCCATTAATGAGGGTTATGTGAAAACCTCATCGTCTTCACTCTCACTGCAAGCATCAAGAAATGGTGACCTGCAAAAACGGCCGAACGGTTATTCCCTGCTTTAATGAGTAAAACGTTCAAAAAAAATTTCAAACCATTCAAAAAAAAAACCCAGAGATCGCACATGCCCGGAGATAATCTTATGACCAACAGATTCCCACCAATTTTGACCTATTCGTTCACAAACAAAGCTGCAGTTTCATGCGGACATACAAACTCAAAAGTCAGGAAATACTGACTACAAACCACATGTGGTTATTTATAAATTACCAACACTCTATCACCTTCTGGCATTGAAGGATCACTTCGACCGAGATTTTCAGACATTTCCAGAGACAGTTTGGTCTATTCGGTATCGGGTACTGTTTCGAAGATAACAGGCCGTTTAGCAAAGCGATTATCAGTGTCATTCGCTGGAAGTCTTACTCTGTATTTCTTGCATTAAGTCAAGTTGGTTCCTGTCTCACAATTACACAGTCCTAAGTGAAAACGTGCAGTGAGTAGTTAGACAACTGATTTAGGTGTACGCTGTATCTGCATTATGACATATTGCTAGTCAAATGTACATTTTGTCTGGCATGCCAGGATAGCGACAGACCAGTGGACTGACCAGTAAAAGCATACAACTAAAAGGTTTATCTCCCCACCAGAAACGTAGTCCGACTAGTTTTGCGCATAAGTCGTTCATAGTCAATACCTAAGTACTTTTTGAGCAGTGTGCTCAGGTAACTCACTGTGTGCGGCAAATTAGGCTACCCCAGTCAGGTTTGAAGAAACCCATCCAGTATGTCAGCTTAGACTATAAAAAGCCTCCGTTCACATACACATCTTGTCCATCAGTTTACCAAACTAACCTGAATGCACAGTGTAGAGTTGTTAGCGCTGTTTTCTCATTGAAACAACCGTGTTCGAATGTGGCGAATTGCTCGGACAAAACCGTCGGCCAGGATGACTTGAATCGTTCACCAGCCGACCGAGGCAACCTGACGTTTTTTACCAACTCGCAGACTACATATCTCGGTCTCTGATTTGGTGTAGTGTCATAGAAGGCTCCGCTCATAAACTCAACAATTTGCTGGTCGCGGCCATTCGGCTGTTTCGGAGCCCAATGGGTTATTGTGGTCTTATCTGTCAGAAACGCACTTTCCCCTGGGTCACTGACACGCCATCCCACTGGGCTGTAATCTGTGCCCTCTAGAAGGCTGTTGATTCCAGTGTGAACGACCGGCAAATTGGAAAAATGCTGAAATAGGCGTTCGGAATGTTTCCCAATCATAAACATGGGGTGATCTAGCCGTCTGCCTGTTTCGTAGCATACAGAATGCGCCTTGCAAAACGATACGGAGATTTCAATTGCCATAAGGCACACATCGTCACCTGCGTCGACAAATTCTTTCGGGCAGGGTGATCGGACAAGGCAACTTATCAGAGATATTACTAAAATATGTTCAGGACGCATTGCTGAGTGAGTTTTCCTACTGATGTCGGCAGCAGAGCAGATGTACGCAGTTAATCAACAGCTGGCCAGTTTTGATTGGAGGGATGCGAAAGAATTTCCCATAAAGTGATTGGTTGAGATAATTTTTAGTGCAGACACCATTCTCAACATAAGTTGGTATGTATCCATAGATGAGAATCACTTAATTGTGTTTATTCCTGAGTGTGTCAGTTACCCTAGCTCCATGTATATCAATTTTAAGTACATAAGTCTGTCAGTGCGAGCGAAAAGACTAGCCTGAATACTGTAGTTGGAACTCAAGAGTTCCATAAAATTCCGGGATCACTCACGCCTCCAAGCTCATTTCATAAAGTGCGCAGTTTGCGAATGTCCCTGGTCAAAGTTTCGATTACGTCGTATAGTTCTTGAAAAGGTTGCGTCTTGTGACACTTCCCGGATGATTATCTGGAGCAGGTAAATAAGGTTCGCTCAAACAAAAAACCGACCATATGAAACACATAAGAAAGTTAGGAGTAGTGATGAGTAAGCATCTAAAGTTTGACGTCTTAAGACACTGGTTTCTATCAGTCACATCGACCTAGAGGAACGAACGTTCGGATCGATCTAGCTTGCGCGCAGGTCACGAGCAAGCAGTCTACGTTTTCTGGCTGCTACATAGGCCAAAATCGGCATATTCACCAGCAGTTGACGGTTTTAGCGGTTCTGCATTTATGAACTGTTTTACAATCAGTTACCTGAAATGCCCTGTGGAACTACCGGTTTTACCGTTGAGTGTCAAATAATGAGATGCACCGTGAGTTTATTGGGGAAATACAGTGAGGTTACAAAAGCGTTCTTCATATCAAGAGAGATTGGTAGACTTCTCCCTTCTTCTTGAGCTTCAAGGTTAGATTGACATAAGAGGGACACTCAAATCCGTGGATTCAGGGCTTCGTTGGTTGAACCAATAGTGGAAACACGAGTGATAGTATTCCTCCAAGACAATGTTGAATCCCCCAATAGGGATTTCGTCCTGTAAGTGAAAGAAATCTATGCCGAGAAGTATTGCACAACTGTTACATCCTTGCTGGGAATCATCAGCAGTGCAATCAAGAAACTTCAGGACATAAGAGGGACACTCAAATCCGTGGATTCAGGGCTTCGTTGGTTGAACCAATAGTGGAAACACGAGTGATAGTATTCCTCCAAGACAATGTTGAATCCCCCAATAGGGATTTCGTCCTGTAAGTGAAAGAAATCTATGCCGAGAAGTATTGCACAACTGTTACATCCTTGCTGGGAATCATCAGCAGTGCAATCATCAATGAAACTTCAGCTAGTAGTTATACACCGAACCGTTCGACCGCGAGCGACTGATCAGCAATGTGAATAACTCACACCAAGACATAAGATGACGCCGCTCAACTTTAAATCACAGAACCTATATCGAAAAGTCAGAGAGTGACTACCGCATAAAAGTCATATCCAATCACTGACTGTCAACGACCTCAACATACACAGCACAGATCAGCTTGCTTACTCGATACACGCAGACTAAATGGCCGCGAGCGAATTCATATTTTATACCCATCCAAGATTATGTTTTGAAGCTCAAAACTCGGACCGTGGTGGTGATTCACAGTAGACCGTCTATCTGTTCCTAACTACTCCCCACGATTTACATTCTCTCGACTCCTCTGGCCTCAATCGGTTCCTCCGACAACTATCTGATTACTTGTATCCATTCCACCCACTTATCCACCCGGTGTTACTCCTCCGCTGACTGACAAGTCATACGTCATCCCCCTGCTTCTTGCAGTTCCAGTGATGCTCCAAAGTTCAACGACGATAATATTACTGTTCTCCATGGTGGCATGCTGCAAGTTACCCCAAACTTTTCCAGTCTGTTTCCGCGCGGTGCGCAAAAGGGACCGATTGCATAAACGCTGGTGAGTGTGCCACTCTCGAGAAGCACTTTTCAATGACGTAACCCTGTTAAGCACAAGGTTGATCTACCATCTGGTGCATGAGTTGAGTGACTACTGTTATCGCTTGCGCCCCCCTCGAAGGCCTCCACACGCGGCTTTCTAAGAGTAGATCCGTGTAGGAACCGACCAACTGTCACCGCAGTTCAACCCTCCTCATTTTATCCAAAGTTCTGGAGTATATCCTGACCAAACGGTCCTCTTTAACGACCACCAATATGGATTTAGGTGCATTATTTCACCGGTGACAGTTGTCGCATCAGGTCGTCAGCCGTAGACTCATTTGGCGAAAACGAAGCCGTTTTCAGATCGTGTACGACACGACGACCTCCTCACCAAACTACCCACGTATGGCCTGTACCCTTATTTGATCAGTCGGTCCGGAAAATTCTCAGCAGATATGTTTCTGTGATTCGGTCTCGAAAGTGTTGCTCCCCAGATCCACAGGATCAGCAATGAGTTACACCCAATCTCCCATTTACTATTGATACATTACCTACTTCTGTCCGTCTCCGGTTGCATTCATGCATTTACAGGCGACGGCTCAAAAATCCACTTCTTTTCGCTGTCAGTGAGCAGCCTCGTTTCAGTTAAGCAACAACCACGTACAGCTGACAGCATACGGAACGCCTAGCACGTCAAGACTCGCGGTTTAAGTATTGTTATTTCATTCAACCATTCTAATTCTCCCAAACCCTCTCTCATGTGCAGTCAGCATGCAACCACCATTCACGAATCTCCAGTGATCTACAAAACACTCTCCCGATCTCAGAGTTCTTAGATTTTTAGAATTTCCAAGTAGTCAAGGCATCAGCGAACGCCCACCTACCCAACCTTAGCCGACAAGTACGTATACCACTCCTTTTAAAAGTCTCGACGTGGTTATGAGCAAAATTTCCGCATTTTATTGTCCATAATAGGCGTCTTTCACCTCCCATGCAATGAGCCATGTGGGTAATACAAGGATGGAATGAAAAAAACGGTGTCAAAAATATTTGAAGGCGGAAAACTATACAAAAATGGTCAGATATGAATGCCCATGCTGGCAAAAGCAAGAAAGAATTTGAAAACTTTTAAGATTACAGGAAATGAACTTCATACAAGTAACCTAGAGTAAAACAGTGTGGTTTTGCAAAACGGCAAAAATGCAATCCAGTTCTAGGGTGTGAGGGTGGTACATCAAGCTATCGAGACGAAAACATAAAACAACTATCATCTTTACAGCTTCAAATGATATTATCTGACACAGTTGTTGGGCTATTATCACCGGTGATGTCTACGCGAAGTACTTTCGGTCGTGTAAGTGGGGATCGGGAGCTGTTGCTTGAACTAACGTGCGGCTGAGTAGCAGAGGCAGTCTGAACATCGGGAGCAAAATCAGCACGATCGGAACGGTGAGCCATGTAACCTGTGAAATTCGAATAAAAAGGACGTGAGAACAGAAGCAACGTAGACCATAAGACGGTTAAAGATAAAAGTAGCAAATTACAGCAAGCAGAATCAATGTGACCCTGAAAACATCGTTGGAAGACTGAAAGGAACTGACGCAGATGCAGCCACACAATGTAAATTGCAGGGAAGGCTGTCAAATGTCACGTGACAGTCCAGGGATTAGTGTTAAGATGGACTCAGCCACTTCGCTGAGTTGGTATTCGACTAGGTTTCCGATTCTGCATGTTGCAAAATAAGTCAGTCTTTTGTAAAGTGATTGATAATACAGAGTTTGAGGACCGGTTTGGGAACAGCCAACGCAACCCAGAAGCTTTCTAGGAAAGCATGAACCCACTGCCGGGACTGAGCGATATTGTAGTTACAAACCCGATTGTTTACTTTACTGGCACACCACAACCCATATGAGTACCAGCAGTCAAACAGGATGAAAGTCAAGTGAGATAGGATGGGGACCTGAGAAACACGGGCGATTAGCTTTGTACGCTGTTTAGAGGGGGAAATTAGTGCACAGATAACTATCTGGCGTGCGGGTAAATAAAATAGACAAGTCAGCTGACTTGGGGTGGCTAACGGAACTGGCAGAGTTTCGTTGGACCAACAGGTGGAACAGATGGAAAATAACATGGTGTCGTCATAATTAGCATTCACTAGTATCCACGGAAGCGCGCACCACATAGGATAACACATGAACGAGTTGTGCACTTGACCTGAAATTCGGCACCATGCTTGAATTAGCTGTACGGTTGCTTTAAATGTCCACCTTTAAGGAATCAATAACAACAACGGGTGAATATCTACTGTTAGTAGCGGGTCCCCTTCTCTTCCGTCGAGGGAAGGTATCAGTAAGGCCTCTTCACGGATGACATTTTCATGTATAGAGTTAGGCTACTCAAACCTGGGTCGGACTAACCGAGTCCAATAGAAAGCGAGAGGGGGGCTACAACGTACAAATCCACAGAGAGTGGACGCATCAAAGCCAAGCAGATGAACAATAACGATGCACACTGTCGTCGCCCAGAAGGTAGGTTATGAATAACAAATTGCCTATACTTAGTCCAATGCTTGTTAGAGAAGCAAACTTCCTAAGGTGATCTGTTTCTGGTAGTCTTAACAACATTTCATCGTGATCCCTCCAAAGGTAAGACCATGTTAACTTCTAAGTGACCCCTCCTGGTAATCCGCACAAACCCAAAGGTAACACGTAATGAAAGAAAGCATCATCCGAGAACACCAGTTTGAAAAGACTTCTAAGAAACTCAAATCTGTGAAGCTACCGCTATCAGTAGACTCTGCCAACAGTTGACAAGCCAAAGATGGGTTTTATTGTACGAAAAACGGGCTGGAAGATACACTCCAGGAGGATCTTTTTCGGCTTCGACCGAGTTACTTAAATACCCAACAGTAGCTCGGCAACGCGGCTTGACAACCGCCTTGTTAAGGCAACGTGGAAGTGTATGAGTGTTCACCAATGGTAGTACCACTCTCTCAAGGACGTGAGGGGTCAAACAATACAGTTAAACAGCTCTGGTTTTCGTCCTTTCGGACAGGTTGTTATTGCCACATCAGGGTTGGGTTTGAGTTGCTTTCAGGCTAGTGGGGTAACCGGAAAGGATTGAAGAGAAGTCTGCCACCATTATTTTGTTGTCATATGAATTTTCTTCAGTGTCTAACCTGGAGCGCCCAGCCATTGCATATTCACAAGAACGTTATTTGAGGCGCTGTTCCTTCAGCTGTTATCGAACGTTCTATGGTGTATTCGAATTTTGGCTTTGCCTGATAGTACAATAGTGCTATGGAAGTTTACAGTAAAGCCTGCTACCGTAACGGCGGCCGACATGATTCGATAAGCTGATTAAGTAATCGAGCTAAAGCAGAGAAGCTGAGCACAATGCATCAGTTCGTTACAACACGTTTCAGTCTGTGAAGGCAATGTCTTAAAAGTGGATGCAACTGACAAGTTTGAAGACCCAACGTACAAAACAATCATTCCATGGACCTTTGATATCGACGAATGCGTTGGAACGATGTATGACTACCCGAAATGTTGCAACTAGCAGACAAACCTAGCTGCCTTTTGGTCGAACTTGAGTTTCAAGCGTGAAGCCATGTCGACCGATGCTTTGGAGATAATTTGCAAGGAACTCCCGAAAACCTCTATGGGAGACGGCGAATCCTCCTATAAGAGTTCGCCACAGTAGAATAAAGAAAGTAACAGTCAACCAGCTGACTTCAGTGAGAGTACCTTCCGATTTCAATCGGAGTAATAGATCTAACAGGCGATGTCAGAGTTGAAAATGTTTGCATAAAGTCTTGGGTACACATGATCGAATCGGCCTCAACGTTCATCAAACTAAATCGCCTCCAACTTCACTGGAACAGTATTCTCCACCAAACGCAATGACAAATGAATGAAAATGCTCATATGGCTAAAAGGTTACCTGGAGTTCGTTAAACAACTAATCCGTTCACATAATGGAGCATACTCACCATGTGGCAGTAGCCATTTGCACCTCGGCCAACGAGCGACAACTGTGTCCAACAAACAGTCCAATTCTAACAAAGAATCCAATTTGCGATGGAAAATATGGCAAATACGCTTCAGTTGCCAGAGCCATCTCGACACTGGTTCCAGAAGCCACTTACACCGAACAGGGCTGAAAATGTTTCGTCCCCTGTGTCCAAACACCGGAGAAATGGCAAAGCTGTTTGAAACTGACCGATCAGCACTGGTGGCTTTCCAAGTTCTCTTGATTAATCGGCTCACAAACTTCCTTTTAGAGAATCTTGGGTTGGTCCTGCTGTGAAGCGTAGATGAAGCCTGATCATAAATGGTACCACCGCAAGAGAGAGGAACGGATCGCGGTATGGTGACAGACAAAGCAGTGCGCCAACGCGAAGGCCAAGGTAAGAGGCCAATAAGAGAGCAGCCGATTAATATATGCCATAGACTGTGTAGTTTTGTGTACTCTCGAGCCATCCACGGAGAAAGAAACAAACACAGACCTGTACATGCACACACGAGACCAGGAAATAGACTCAGGATCCACCATTGTACTGGTGGGAATAGACGCCCAGTTTGACGTGTCCGCAGTATCTGTGGGAAAGTGCAAAAAAATACGGCCCACTCAGAATGAAACGCATTCAATTCTAACAAGGTTTGAGTTGTCATCGCAAAGCGGAACGTACCAAACATGTGAAGAAGCAGGTTAAAAAAAATGACTCACGTCTGAATAAAATTGGCTTGTGAAGGAAAAAGCATGGGAAGACGTTAGGTTGACCAACTATGGTCTGTGGACATAAATGCTTTGTTGGCAACGGGGAATACAAACAAGGACCAGTTGGGCAAAAATTTCATTTTGTCTGACAAAACTGTCAGTTGCTCGTCTCCCGCGCTTCATTCCATTGAAGAGCATAAATTTTCATAGGCATTGGTCGTTCAGGCAATGCGGAATTACCCAAGTTTTTGGGTCGAGTAGAGAACACATGTTCGCAGTCCCACCTATTCCATTGAATAAATGTAGAAAGTGGCCACGTTGAGCGTTTGACAGAATGCGCCTAATCACGTTCTGTCACCGGTTTTCAGACAGTATTTCCTGTTTGTAGCTAGATGACCACATTTCCGGTGCTGGACGTCATATGGTGTAGCTAAACACCCATTTTCCAAACTACGATGGTGTTATTGCGAGGCTCAAACGAATAATCCGTTCAGGATTTTCTCAAACCGACAGTGAAATTAGAAGTTTTCTCACCATCCTCATGAGTAGCATCTTATAGAGAAGTAATATGTTGTACGACACGTATCGAGCATACAAGCTGGTAGTTTGACACACCTTAGTAATAAACCACGTGGCTGTTGATCTGTTCGCCGAGCTACCAATAATCCAACACACTACTAACAAACACACGTGTCGTGCAGGTTCGTTCACGTGTGACGTATGCTTGAGGACGGTGTAACGAGACGGATCTGGCCCTATCTAGTCAACTGTAAACAAAGTATCGAAGGTACCACTAAAATTTGTAGCGAATTTGGTGTCACGATGATTGGCATTTCGAAAATTTAATCGACAGACCTATATCATGCCCTTGTGTGTGTACAGTGAACATCAGTGGAAATCTCACTCTATTCATACTTTAACATCTTATTGGTCTACACAATCAATTTGGTTTCTCTTTCATCCATTTTCCGCCGCTTGACGGCTTTCCTGTTGAGATTTTGGTGAAGTTTTAGGGGCTCAATGGGTTCCGAACGTACTGGTTGCTTTCAGAAATCTGACCCTCTTGATATACTCATTCTGAAATTATTGTATTTTCACTGAGAAAACTACTCACAAAGTTGCTGAAAACTCTTTAACAGCCCACGGCCAGTTTCACCCTTCTTCGGGTTCATCGGACGGATACGGTCCATGAGTTTCCTCCAACCTTACATTTCGCTTTGAATGATCTTTTTATGTGACACCTAGAAAAATGGCTTGTGACTGCTCTGTTGATATGGCCACAAGTTTTTTGAATACAAATACGGAACCGAATAACTGACGAGCACAACCGAACTCACCCAACTAAACGCAAGAATAACGAGCCCAACAGCAGACGGAATGAGAAACAAGCCGACCGAATAGCGTGCCACTTGAACTGCGATCGATAGGAACAGCATGGAAATCACATAGGCCAGTTGAGCATAGCGCAGCGGACACGCACAGGCGGCGATCATCGTTACAAGCACGGAGAGAACGCCCCCGAAGAAATCGCAAAAGGACAGTATGTCCAAGGGCAAAGGACAAGCGGGGGACGTGAACCGAAATCCATGAGGAACTGAATGATAACCGTTTGGTGCAGTACTGACCACATGATATCCCCTAGCTCGAACCAAGGAATATCCACCAAAGGACGCAGCACCTCCACTGATGGTTCGGAGACCCACGCGAGCTGGAATGTTCATCACGTCCGTGTCGCATAGATGGTAAAGCTGGAAGAGAGCACCGAAAAGTGAACAAACACAGGAACAGCCTGGAAGCTATTAAATATTGCGAAAAACAAACATGGCTTTGAAGAAAAACTAGCACGAGAATTCATCTTTTTGTTTATTAGAGTACCATCAGCCACAGCTAAACCCCTTGGGTTCCGATGGAAAACTAATTCCGTCTGGAAAATAAAACGGAACAGAAAACAGCAAATTAGGTAAGATACGATCGAATGAGGCGGGCACTACACACACGCGCAAAAACAAGTGTTTTATTTCCGAATGTAGAGAGATAGAGAGAGAAGAATTGCAACATTCTCGAGCAAATCAGAGCGTACAACGCTCTGTGACAACGAAAATAGCACGCATTTGGAGGAAGCACTCATACAGCAAATTGTGGGACTAATCACTGGGGGTGGTGAAATATTGGAACATTAAAATGATACCTTCAATTGCAGAGCACACGGTTTACAAACACACAGACAGATGCTCACGTGAATCATTTCCCACTTGGGAATAACAGACGATGGGGCATTTCTCGACTAGCAAGCCTATCGAAAGTAGAGTGTAGTGGTTTTGAAAGAAATGCTAATAAATCGCGTTGCTTAGCGTGCGCATCATTCGGTGGTACTCGTAGTTTGTGTGGAAAAAATTATTTCGGTACGCACACGGTGAGAGTGATCCCAGTGGTACGATACTCAAGGTATCGCAGCATATTTTCATAAAGGAAACTACTCATTAAGTTGACATCGAAGAGTTTTCAGCAACATCGTGAGTAGTTTCCTTTATTAGTTTTTTTTGCTGTTTTGCTGCACAGCGTGCACCTCGCGAGGGACAAGTGAGTTCATGCCCCTACACATCTGGGTAGTACGTCAATTGCTGACCATTGACCGGTAGGATACTGAATAGGTCCGATAGTACCATCCAAAGTTAGGTTGCAAACACCTCAAAATACGTAAATTATCCAGCGTTGACAACCACCAACCGAGAGGACACGCAGTGCAATTAAGGCTTGGAGACACTACTTATGGCATGTAAATACACTCAAACCTGTCAAAAGTAGCTACTCGCAAATGTACCAGAATGTCGAATTTCGCGTGATAAGTGAGTGGTAGCGATGCCGTGGTAGTATGAACAATTGGTACAGGGTTATAGCAGACAAGGAAAAAGGGTGTTCATTTCGTAAGAAAACAGGTCCCTCTCCTAAGAAGACCATGTCCAGACAAAGAACACCTTTGGCATCATCCAGTGGTGATTCTTGCAAGAGGGATGAATGTGAAAACTTCGGAATATGACACTTATGAGCATTATGATTGGTTACGTGTGGGAAAGCCGCCAAAAGTATCAGTTTCCCAAAATCAGAACTCCTCTGTTGCTTAAGAGATAGTAAAATTGCGATTGATATATTGTGTGATAAATCGTTGCGGCATGAAGACCGAAAACCTAAACCAGAGACTCAGAGTAGCGAACAACACGGGGATGGATGGTGGTTGGTTGTTTGAGACGACGGTATAGGCTGTAATGGTGTTCTACTGCAGGTCTGGCTAACTCACATGTCAGGGTTGGCCCGCAACAGAAAATGTGGCGGTTTGTACGTACCCTTGATACTGCGGTTGCTCCTACCCAGCACCACACCTTGTTGGTTTTTACAACAGATACGTGCCAACAATTTGATTCTGGTCATAAGAATGGCTCACGCAACCAAAAGTGCACGGCCTTGGCAGTTCCTGTCGATCTTGAAAAAAAACAAAGCTGGGTTGTGGAGGCAGATACTGCACAGATAGAATTTTGCGATAGAGGCCTAAACGGAAACCCAGACGAGATCAACGGCCAGATTACTGCTTCTTGGGGGAGAATGAAAGGGTTAAAAACCTGAAAGAGCACGGACAACAGATGTTAAAATTATTGCATGAACCCAAAGGTCAACCATTCTCCAGTTAATAACCCTGTGTCTGCATGGAATATTTTATAGGTATTCGCTGACGAGGCTGTGGTGGGTAACATTTCCCTCGCCATTTGTTTGTAAGCCTTTCGCTTATTCAAGTCATGCGGGCTATTCACAAAGTCGAAAGGGCTGATCATGGTACGTGTATCCAATACATTATCACAAAGCCCCTCTCCATCTCCCGCCCTGCTCCACTTGATCTGAAATCAAATGACACAAGTGTATAACGATGAAGCGCTACAGTTGTTGTCAGGGTTGGTTATTGACGAAAACAACGAACTCTACCTCTAGGGTTTTTTTTTGCTAAATCGTAGGATTACGTGAAATGGAAAGGGTCAGTATAAGAGCCTCTCTATACAACATAAGAAGATAAGAGATGACAAAGATTAAACGTGGCCTTTTGAGACGTACGTTGAGTCCGAATCAATGAGGTTGGGTTGACGGACAGATAAAGGTGACACACAAGACATATATTAGGGTTCGACACATGATATAGCGCTCTAATCGGTCTCGCTTCGAACCCTACGATGTTAAGGAAGAAATCTATCGGGTAGATTTGTGTTGTGAGCGAGAGGGTCTCACGCACTGGGAGAATTTCATTCTTAACTAGAAAAGTACTACCAGTCACCTTCTGGGCTGGAAATTCATAAAATCACGACAAGCATTAGTTGCGGAATACTTGTCTCAGCCGTCACTGAACAAGATGTGAAAAATGGTAAACTGCTGATTAACACAGGATGATTACACGTTTGTCTCAGGGAAGGGACAGCACGGAAAGTCAACAATAGTAGTGAAGCGAATCCGACCCTCGGAATCTAATCTGGTTTCTGAAGAAACACATGTAAGTTCATTGAAGAAGCGATAATAAAAGCTCGTCAATTAACCAGCCAGGGATTTCCTCTAACAGTCATTCGGCCGAAGAACACTCGCAATCTGTTTGTCACTGCCCAAATGACGTATATGACTCTCGTCTTTCTGTCATGCTCTCGATCCCAACCAGCCACATGGAGATTCCGGCGCCCAGTTTGGAAAAGCGCCTTACAAAGCTACTATGTGACTTTGTGGCCGGAAATACATTTGGGGGGTTGTCGCAGACGATTAGTCTGTGTGCGCATCAACAATGAAGGGTTAGTTAAAGAATGAGTGGTAATTCAGATAACTTACGGCTGAGAAAACCAGAGTGTATGTATATGCCAGAGCAGGTACCCACAAGCGGCGTATGAGAGCCAGACAAATTCCAGGAACAAACGCCAGATTGGTCAGTGCTAGGAGCAATGCATCTTTGGAGTACCCATTCCACATGTATATTAGTTCATCCAGTTCGCGCCCATGTGGCAAACGATCATCGACAAGTTCCGTGGAATTGGGACGCAAACAACCCAGTCCAAAGCGACCAGGTGGACAAGCACATGTGGATGCAAAGATTGACTGTTGTAAGAGCTCTACGCAGAGGCCTTCACCAAACAGACTAGATGCCTGCCAAGTACTATTGACCAGTGGGCTCTGATAGGCTGTGTGGTCTGGCTTCCGCAAGTTCCACCAAGGAGGGCGCCACCGAGGCGTTAAGGTTGAAGAAGTTTGATCCTGAACAACCTGAGGAGGGGATATAGATTTGCTGTTAAATTCTAGTCTTTTTGAGTGTGCAAGAGTATACAAACATGTAGAGGGTTAACCGCATCGAAAAATAAACTGTTAAAAAGTAAGGTGGACCACGGGAATCATAAATATCATCGAACTATATGTGCAATGAAACATGCAGCAGACAGTTGAGATGCCTAAGAGTAAGGAAGCACACAACCTGGAGCATCGAATACAACAAATAACCGGCGGTTCTTCATAAAATCCCATTAACAACCGTTCGAATTAATCAGGCCAAATACTATGAACGGCATCACTGATTGTGATTATTCGGCGTTATGCCTGTGAGTAAACTACAAACTAGGCGGAACGCCACATAGAGTACTCTATGCACGGGATAGATAACATTGAGAAATTAATGTTTTGCTCACACTTGGTACAAACTCAAAGGCTATTCTGATGACAAGTCTTCTGATGGGGCTCTAATCTCTGGCAAACCGTAGGACGTATGTAGGAGAGAAGGATTACGAAACATCAGAAAATGAACCGAAACTTACAGGCTGAACCTCAGCTGCGGCGCGACTGAGCACACGTGACGGTGGCAGACTGGCTCCTTCACCAGATTCACGACATCGGTAATTCAGGCACGGTCTTGACTGAATTACAAGACCGACGTCAACAGCAGATGCCGGATCATCACACCATCGAACACTAGATATATGTGGATGGTCGAAAATACAACAGGAAAATCCTGATTTCAAAGGGAAAATAATATAATGATCCCAAGAAAAAGACCCAAGGATACAGATAACCTCCCCGAAAAAAGACATCTGCGAGAAACAGCATACTGGTACTGGCCAGAGCACTCCACTAAGTATTTTCAGGTAAATATTCCACAAATAAGGGTTCGAACAAGATCAAAACTGAGGAAGAATACTGACTCATGGTCGCAAGCAGAGTGCAGACGCTTTCTGTGAATGCAACTCGTGTAGAAACGCACATTAGGGATAGGCTTGTTGAGACAAGCGTCATACGCACAACAGAGTACGTCATATAGTGTATGAAACAACGACACGGCCAACCGTCGCGTCAACAGTAATTAGTTTAGGCGAAACACGAAAAGCCCAGCGTCATCCTACGATCAGGCAGTTAGAAAACGCACATCTCACATGGGATCAAGTATCACTAGCGAAATGCACGTAAAGATGAAGTGATCAAAGAAAGCACGAATACCTACGAAAATATCAGCTAGTACATCAAGACGTGCTGCGAATAAAATCATCGGCTTGTGCGATCGCAGAGCCAGAGGTTGATAGGAAGGCGGTGGCTGACACCATCCCACATACTGAGCTCTGGAAGTGGGTCCAAACGCATGTCATTTGGAAACCTGTTGGAAACTATTCGTAGCAAGAAAAAGGGCTTAATATACGTGGTCCTGGGATAATCTGCGGAAGTATAATGGATGTAAATGTGTAAGCAGTTTATTGAAATTGAACGCAGCATCTAGAATTCTTCAGGAGACACATTGGTAAAGTACATTAACCAAAAAATCACATCAACTGTCATTCTAACTTCGAGAAGTTCGAAGGTGTGTTAAAAAACAATCTTCTACTAAACTACTTGCAGTCACGTGTTAATTTCGTATGCGCCAAAGGTAGATACACGCTTTTACCAGATCTAATCAGCTTAATGAAGCGCACACTGTGGCCAACCACATTTACACGCCACTGGGATACTCAATTAGTGGTGCCGGCCAGCACAATACACAGGACGACGAAAATGAGGCGACGAGCTTTCGGCAAGTGCGAAACAGAGAAATCAATAAATAGAGGTCCATCCCACCAACACGGACGATGCGCGTTCGACGAGAAGTTCGAAAGAAACAAATGGCATGGAAGAGCAATCAACGTACTCTGAAGCGGCATAACACTCGGCGTACAATCCCAAAAACCATTGTCCAGGAGGGGGGTATGGAAGATAGAGAAAGCTCCTATCCACGGCTTCATCGAATGAAGTATCAAACAACGGTGGTAACTCGCTGCGATGTGATGGCTGGCTTCGAGCCAGCGTTGCAGATACAGCCGCGAACACTGCATGGGCAACAGATACAGCTACACCGCGATGGGTGGCCAAACGAAGCCAAAGTGGACATCGTTTACGACTGATGAAATCGTATGGGCTCGAAGGGACGTGACGACTCAGGCAAGCGTGTAAAATCACTTGACGAGGGAGGGGCTGTAAGATGATTCAATAATCACTGTTAGTGGTTAGATAAACCAGGGGGCATCAGTTATCAAAATCGAACTGCACATGAGTTCGATACTCGACCAGATGAGGAATTCAGTGTATATTTATTACTCGTTTGGTTAAAAATAAATAAGGTTGTGAAAGAGATAAAAACCGAACTCTCGTTTTGTGGTCGCAATAAACAAATCTTAATCCAGTAGAAACATCCAACGCACTGCTTGTTTTACGTTGGCTTTGTTCTGCATCCAGCATGACTAATGTATGGTGAAAAGCAGTGGTGCGCATTAGCCGCCTGTACGAGGTGATAACAACACTTCTGAAGACTGTCTTGACAAGCGGATTTCACTGAATGAAAGGATTTTTTGACGCTGATGGGGACTGTGCCCTGACCTGTGAAGGATGTACTGGGTCAAATAGGTCATCCTCACAACACTATAGTCAGTATGGTGAAAGCGAACCTTCCTGTAGATAGCACACGTTTCTAAATGGCTCCTGAATGTCACTGACGACCATGGAGCTTTGCTGTCTTACATGTGTTCCATAACAATACGAAAATGAGAACGGTTGATGGTGTAGCAGGAGATGAATGGATATCCCGCGAAACTTATCTGGCTCTCAGTGGAAGTAGGTTATACCAAAAAACCAAACACTACAAGTTGCTAGTTTACAGTCGATATTGAGTCTACATGCTTCTACCCACAAGAGGAAGCGTTGAGTACCCGGATGCAGAAACGGTCAATAGCTTAGCAGATACGCATCGACTTAGAATCGAGCTTCACATGTACCCTTCCAATGGAAACCATACCGCGGATATCTGAAGATGAATTTTTTAAAAATTATAGATTTAATTTTTTTCAAATTTTCCAAAAAAAATTAAGTAGAATTTGATGCACCCAGCTGCGAACTAAATGTACTGAACTGTCCTCTTCTTTAACCCATGTTTGCACCGCCACATGGCTTACTCCACGAAAAATGCTCGACAAAACTAATTTTGAGTCCGTGAACAATACAGTACTTGAATGGAAAGCAGTGTCCCTCATGCCAAGTGCTGGGCACTTCGACTACACAAAGGCAGACCCACAGAACTCCCATTCTCCTCTAGAAATCTGAAGAGCCGCTTTTCAACTATGCAGATACCATAGCAAGAGATTGAAACGAGAAATATCGTTTCGTGGTTGAGCAACGTGGTCACAGGAACCTTATCCCTCAAGTTAGAGCGCCCCGAATCTACCATTGCACGTTGTTTAGGTTCAACTAACACCCTATCAACCCTCAGTATGATAGGCTGTTCACGAACTTCATTCAAGAGTGGATATCCTCCGTTATCATCTACGATCTGATTCTACAAAGTCAAACTAACAAAAATAAAGGAAATTGAAACGAAAAATAACCAAGCCAATAAAACATTTTGAACAAACTTTTGACAGAATAAAATATTTGGCATACCGAGGCTGAGAAATAGGATATGGGGAGAAAAGTAATGTGTGCAAACTTACCAGGGAATGCGTGTGGTTGATATGTTGCATTAGATCAAATGGATTCAATTGCAACGTGACTTCCAAACTACCACCTGTATCCAAACCAGGCGCTAAGTCGAATGGAATGGCTATTGCATGCCACGGTGGAATACGCAACCCGTTTGTGTACTGTCCAGACTCGGGCTGAGAGTGATAACAAGGAAGGTCTTGATTACCCACAAAAATCAATTGGAGGGACCTACTGGGAAACTGTAGTAGCCGAAGAAGGGACGTTCCAAATCGGAACGGATGAAAACAATTATCGTAAAGCGAAAACAAAAAAACGGATGCTTGTGTAAGACAGACAGAAGGGCACAAATAGGGTTGTGGTCGACGAAATATCAGTACCCTGATACAAGTTAACGAAGAGTATTGTATCAATTTTGGAGCATTACTGAAGTACCTGCAGCAATCTGTCATCATCAAAACGCTCCGTTGTATTCACAAGAGTTTAGTCATTGCGCTCATCGTTATACCTCGGTCTCCTCAAATAAAGAAAAGACATGGAGAAACCACCCTGGGAGAGATTAACTGTCAAGAGGAAACAATGCTAGTCCAAAAGGAATCGAATGAAGTGGTCCTAATTTGCGAATGAAGGGATGATCTTTCTCAGGGGGACTACTAAATGTGTATTATCAGTCGGTAGTCACTTTTGTTTACCGAATGACCGATAAAGTTGGTAGTTCAAAAACTGCATTGCCCTTCACGACACCGCGATGGAATCGTGGATCGCAGAGCCTAGATGTGCGAAAACAAACCGTTTGTTGCCAACGGACTTGTGCTGTGGTCCAAACCGGTTCGTTTTGGTGTCTATAGATATGCTTCCGTGATTGTTGCTCATTTGTTTGTTCGGGTTGGCTTGATAGAATAATTTTTATGACAGTGTCCCGGTATAGTGGAAACTAGTCAGAAATAGCCGACAAGACTCGTGATACGTGGACCTTATCTGTTACGTCTGGTAATGAATGACGTCAACATGTATAGTCAGACACCCATGTGATTAAATACTTTTATCTAATACGACTTCTCCATCCACATTTTATACCAGTGAGTCCACTGGGGAGTAAAACCGTCCCAGATTAAGTTCTGGAAAATACCTGATTTGTGCTCCGGTACCTGAAAAATTCCCAAAGTTTAGAATTCTTAATCCATAATCATGATTGATGCATATATCACTGCGAACGAAGAATACTTCGCCAGCATTGAGTGAGGTATTTGAAGAATGGGCGTATACCCTTTCTGGATAACCAGTACCGGCTCATTCACGTGATTTTACAAGGAACTGGTAAGATACTTTGGAGTGAGGTCTTGTTTCGGAAGGACCACCCATTAAATCACATCTCTAAAAACAAGATGTTACGTAGTTTCCAGTGAAGCGTCTTTCATTTAGAGATGTGTATTGCTGTGTAAAAATTTACTTCACTGTTGTTGACGGCTCTGATTCTCTCGGATGAGGTATTATTTATAAAATGAGGGTTGGCGTTGTCGTACACGGCGCATTAGGGGATGAGCTGGAAATTTCGGGAACCAACAATCTACACATAAACTAAAACAACTATGAATGAAACAAGCCTACTAAGCAGCTAATCTTCGAATTTTACTGAGTTCTTCATGTTAGCTTCGACTTTTCCCTGAAATGTATACTTTCAGATTTCCACATTCCAGTGGACTAGTAAACCTGACTGTGACCTATATCTGTCGCGGATGTCGGAGAATTCTGATATGCAGTAGCCTCACGTTTGAGGGATTATGTACCATTTGGAATAAACCACCTGTGAACCTCTACCATGTTGGAAGCAAACTTATGTGTACTGTAGATAGTCATGTGTCTACTTGGTGCCTTATTGTAGAAAAACCCAAAGTACGAATTTCCAGCGTGGTTTTTTTCGGGAGTGAAAACTGCACCACAAGATCCGCTGCGAGTTTGAAAGTTGGTCTCTTAAAAAATCAATTTGAGGCTGAACCTCACGGGAGTGGAGTCACGTCGACTTAGTTTTGGAAGGGCTCTCCTAAGATATATATATATATATATATATATA